CGGCGTTTTTGTGCTTGCACTCCTATGCCGTACGTATTGCCCTGCGAATTAAACGGGGTCAAGTGGCTGCACCGGGGCCGAGCCCCTTTTCGGCTTTGAAAAGCCGCCCCCCTAGTCTCCGTGGCTTTTAGGCGTTTATATATTATTGGGCCTTCGGCTCGTATGGGTAGTTTTACAGGTATGGGGTCACACACACCCCAACCATGTAACACACACACACACACACACACACGCATTGCCCTCAACCCGCCACGTTATACGATTACCTTCAAAATCCTCCTCGACCATGCTCCCAGTCTCTGTCTCAGGCTCCAACAGCAACCCAGCAGCACAGTACACCACAATCAGACCAACCGGCATTGTCACCAACACTCACCCACCCAATCACCCACCACTCGATCCGTAATGATCATGCAGTGGTGTCGGACGTCTCTGGAGCCATGTACGGCGCCTGTAAACGTGTACGGATGTACAGAAGGAGGAGCCTGTGGTGATTATTCCGTAGCAAGTAATATTGCATAGCGAAAGTCTGCTAATGTTGATTGCGGTGGCCTTGGAAATGCATTTGCCCCCCTATCTTTCATACTGTGCTGTACTGTACTGGACTCGCTATTCGGCCTCATGCTGGGGGAGCTGGCGGAATATGACATCATGCAACTGCCGAAGCGGCGCTGAGGGCGTGGGGGTCTGTTGCTATTTAACCCTCCATACAGCTTGCCATCTGTTCCGTTCCGGCAGTCCGTACAGCCCGTACGGCATCTTGCTCCTTGCTGCTACTGCCAGCAGCTTCCCCAAAAGGCCGATGGCCAACACTGCCCCCGGGGGACCTGAACAGGACATTGCAAATCCCGGAAGGGAAGGGAATCTCAGATGGCGGAAGCGTATAGGAGGCCGTACTGTAATCGTAGCGATACGGACTAAGGTCCTTTTGCAGAAACCAATGCAGAGTAAGGATTATTACTGTGCCATTTCCGTGTTCATGCATTCGTGTACGGCATGAATATGTTATGCTGGTCTGGTCTGGTCCCCCCATCCCCGTAGTATTGTGCAGTGCCGCATCTTCTGTCTTGATTACAAAAGGTTCCTGGATGAACTCCAAGCTGCAGCCGTGAATAGTAGATCGAAGACGTCTCCACATTCGATAAGTTCTCCTGTACACAATAGTCTGATACGTGTAAGTCTCAGTCAACACGCGTACACCGGATGGCGTTCAGGTGTGCATAATTCAGCCTACTTATGCACTTTTACCTCGAGCTACCCCTGCCTTTTCATAAGTTTAATAAATCATCCAGTTTGTAAGGTATAACACTGACATTGATGGTCCGGACTTTCTTATGCTGAAGAGCGTGTAGGATTAATACTGGACCTGAGCGTTTGCCATATGTACGAGGGCCTGAGCTTGTCGATAACATGCCATATGCCGCAGCCTGGGATTGAACCAGGGCCCTTTTGTTTACAAGACAAACGCTCTACCACTGAGCTACAACGGCTTGGAGATGCGGTCCTTTACGGACCCCAGACAGTAACCTGGTATCCTACAGTGGGTCGGTGCTGGGCAAGCGTGGCCAGGATCCAAATCCGGAAGAGTGGATGAACAAGTTCTGCATGCAGGCGCAACATAACTACCACAGGGAATATGGCCTTTGCCTCCGCAATGGAGAAAATAAGCACTTTCCAGTGGCGGAGTGCCCGATGAACCCGGAGAAAAAGGTAAGTGAACTTGTCCATACGTTCACAAGCAAGTAGTTGGAGCACCCGCCTGTGGTTGCATCCCACCTGGTTAGCAGCACACTGGACAAGATTGGCGGCAAAGGGCATAAGTTGGGCAATTGTGGGTATGCTTGTGAGTGTATGGAAGTGTATTTACATCAGCGTGCTGCTGTCAAACGCTGACAGCGCCACCATCATGACCTCCTGTATGCACTGCTGCCAATGGAGGTGGTGAGAGCGGCAGGGCTGCAGCGGTGTCAACATCTGCAGCTGCAGAGGTGCCGCTAGCCAGCCTCTGTCATCAGCCTCTGTCATCAGCCACAATCACTACATTCGCCAATCGTGCAGTCGTGCGAGACCTTGCCACCGATGCGACCACTGTTTGTAGTGATGCTGCTGCAGCAGCTATCGGCCTTTGACTCTCGACCTCCTATATAAGCAAGGCTGGACCAGTAACGCTGGCGCATGGTTTTTTAAAGTACTGGGCTGTTGACTACGGTAACGGCAACAAGGTCAAGTGGGTCTCCTCATGTAGGAAATGTCATAGTAACACACAGGCCATCCATACACTTTGTAGTAGCTAGGGAAGGAGTTGGTGGTTGCGGCGGTTGTTGAGCCACTCAGGGGAGCATTGCATTGTGGTGCCTCTGAGGTTCTTGCAGGCTGCTGCACAGGGTGAGGTGACCATTAGGTCCCATGTGCATGTTCCCCCTCATGAGCAGTGAAACTGTTGCCAACCCGCCACACTCAAACATTCCAGCCTATCCGCAACGAAACTGAGTATGCCTGTCTCCCAGCAAAGAAAGGCGGGACGTTGTGGTTCATCACGAGGTGACCCTAAGTGGCTGCAAGGAAAGGAAATGACACCGTACACATGAGGCCACCACCCTACTGTTTGCCTGGCACATACAGAGCACCCGCTAACCTAGCTATTGACACCTTGGGACAACTCTATCAGCTCTAATCATAGCTGACACCAGCATTATTGCGGGAGTGACGAGGGTAGAAGTGGTAGGGTACCGTATCGCTGACAAGCAACGTCATTGGGTCAGCGGCAGACAGGTCAGGTCACAGGTGCTGGGTTGGTTTCGGGGCTTCAGCTGAGCCAGCGATGCAGTGCAGACATTGTACGAATGGCCGTATCATAGTACGATAAAGCTGCCGCCATCACCGCGATCTTCACCCTTGCACCCGCTCCCACCCC